TTAAAAAAGTGTGCATGCAGGAACTTAATGAGGTTTAACAGGGTCAAGTGCAAGGTGTTGCACTTGGGTCAGGGCAATCTCAGATATGAGCACAGATCAGGAGAAGAACTCCTTCAGAGCAGCCCTGCTGAGAAGGACTTGTGACTCCTGGCAGATGAAAATCTGGACATGAGCGAGCAGTGTGAGATTGCTGCCCAAAAGGCCAACAGAATCCTTAGCTGCATCAACAGAGGGGTGGCTGCAAGGACAGAGAGCCTCTGCCCTCTGCTCTGCCCTCATGAGGCCGTATGTGGAGTTCTCTGTTCGAGCCTGAGACCCCCCAGCACAAGAATGACATGAAGCTGTTGGAGCGGGTCCAGAGGAGGGCAGGAAGATGATCATATGGTTGCAATACCTCACCTGCAAAGACCAGCTGGATTTAGTCAGCCTGGAGAAGAGAAGGAGGTCTCTGGGGAGACCTCACAGTGGCTTTCCACTATTATAAACAGGAGAGAGAGTGACCTGGGCAATAGCTTTAAAGTAAAAGAGGTGAAATTTACATTAGATATTGGGTGGAAATTCTTTACACAGAGGGCGGTGAGGTGCTGGCACAGGCTGACCTGAGAAGCTGTGGATGCCCCATCCCTGGAGGTGTTCAAAGGCAGGTTGGATGGAGCCCTGGGCAGCCTGGTCTGCCAGGGGATAGCCAGCCCACGGCAGGGGTGGGAACTGGGTGGGCTTTCAGTTTCCTCCCAATGCAACAGCCTGACCCAACCAAAGCTGCTTTATGGCTCCACTCATAAGGAGGCACAGCAGGACTCAGCCCAGGCCCCAGCTGTGAGCACAAAGGGTGGGGGCAGCTGGAACTGCTGGCGCTGCCACACACCCACAGGGAATGGCCAGGCCCGTGCAGGGCATTCAGTCATTCACTGCAGGTTTACCTCGATTCGTCCAAGCCTATCTTGTGACACTGGAGGTGTATGATTGCTGGGGGGCTCACAGAAAAGCCCCCCATTACTCTTGGTTTAGTTTTGGCGCACACCATGATAATGACCATTAGGGTGGGCAGCCCTGCCCCCTGCTGCCCACTCCTCATGGGATGGATGCACTCAGTTTGTCCCAAGCAAACACAAAGCCCCAGGGTTCCCGAGGCAGCAGCCTCAGGAACCAGGCTCATAGCCCTGTCTGTCCAAGCCCCACTCCCAGCCCAGCTCGCATCTGCTGGGGACACTGAGCAGAACTGCCTGGGTTGGCCACAATGCACACAGTCCAGGGACAGTTGAGTACTTCAGCACAGGTATTGGCACAGCTGAAGCTGGGGCACTGGGCACCATGTCAGTAACAGACAGCTCTAAATTGTTTTTAAATAAAAATATGTCTGTCTGTAATCTCTCCATATGTGGCAATCATAGAACCATTAAGATTAGAACAGACCACTAAGATCCTCTAGTATACCCATCAACCCATCACCACCATGCCACTAAACCACGTCCCTCAGTGCCACATCTACATATTTGTATGTATCTACCCTACTAGAGATGGTGATTCCACTACCTCCCTAGGCAGCCTATTCCAATACCTCACCACTCTTTCTGAGAAGAAATTTTTCCTCATATCCAACCTGAACCTCTCCTGGTGTAACTTGAGGCCATTCCCTCTCATCCTATTGCCATTACCTGGGAGAAGTGGCCGACTCACTTCACCACAAACTCCTTTCAGGGAGTCGTAGAAAGCAACAGTAGTGATTCCCCTGAGCCTGCTCTTCTCTGGACTGAACAATGCCAGTTCCCTCAGCCACTCCCCATTAAGACTTATGCTCCATACCCTTCACAGTTTTGTTGCCCTTTCTCTGGACATACAGATGTCTGTCTTGTAGTGAGGGGCCCAAAACTGAATGCAGTACATGAGGTGAAGCCTCACCAGTGCTGAGACAGAGGTGTACGAATCTCACAGATGCAGTGGCAGCCTCCAAGCATGGCCCAGTGTTGGCCCTGCTTAGGTACTCCCCAAGCCACACAATTTCTGCAGACATTGCAGGTGCTGTCACCCCTCTCAGGTCTGCCCTGCATCAACACTACAAAGGCAGCACTTTTCTGTATGTATCCATGAGCCAGGTAACTCCTGGTGGAAACAGTACCAGTGCCTCTCTGTCCTTAGTTCAGGCCACCTGAATGCTCTGTGCTGCAGTCATACCAACTGCAGCAGCCCGAGACCTCAGCCTGAGTTCCTGCAGAGTGCAGACACACGTATGAGTGTTTCCCTGCCTCCGATTGCTCCCAGTGAGGCAAGCTTCATTATTCTTTCATTCCTTCCTCCTTCCTCCCACTCATGTATTTGAGGCTTTCTTACGTGCTTTGTAACTTTGCTTCCCACCTCCTCTTCATTTAGAGCCTTCCTAAAGAAAGGAGTGTTTTAGGAGACCCACATTTGCAAGGGAAAAATATTAATAGTGGAAACTTTCTCAGCGCTGTATTTTTCCTCTGTCTCCAAGTGCATCTTGTCTCCTCACATCAGCCTCAGTGATTCTTGCTCTCCCATAGAGAGCGCCGCTTTGTTATCTGTATCTGCCAGCTGAAATTAATGAAGATAAAATTCTTACCTCTTTCCAAATGGGGGAGAATTTATGATTTATGCTGCAGAACATTCTCCCATGTCCAAGTTGGCCCGTTTTGCCTGATTCCATTTCACATTTTGTATTAAGCCTTGCTCTCCTAGGGAGCTGCCAGCCTAGCAGCCCCTGTGCTATACTAGCTCATGGCCCTGTGGTGCGAGGCCTCCTCTCCAACTGGAGGACAAATATGTCTGCACCTTCACTATAGGGGTTACTCCAGTTCCACAAGGAGAATGGCTGCGCCTACACGACGGCTGTGGCACTGTAAGACCTTGTGGTAGCACCATCTCACATTTACCAAGGAGCAAAGTCAGAAGCTGCTGCAGATGGGCACTGTGATGGCATTACCCACTCCCTTTTTCACCTCCAAAGTTATTTGCCAGGACTGTGCTGGCTGGGAAGCCCACAGGGTTAATATCTGCTTTGTGGGAGCCAGTTGACAAGGAATGTAACTCTGGTAGCAAATTGGTCACTATACAGTGCTTGTTCATCCCTTCCAAAATGGCACTTTACAACTTTACTGATGTCCCTTTCAGTTTCTTGTGTTTAGTCTCTTCACTGGAACACACAGATAAAACTAGGAGAACTTTGAGCAACATCATGTGCTTTCAAGGGAGATACCAGCAATTTTTACTCCATTTCCCCATTTGCCATTAGTATCTGACTGCAAAAACAGACAATTAAAAATATCTCAGTCTACACTTTCAGACATGTAATGACCTTTTGCAGTTTCTCAGTGTTTTGTATGCTTGATTTGAGTTCTGTTGAAGATTTCCATAAGACAAACATTCAAGTACGTTTCAGGCCATGTTCCTATTGCCTCCAGGCATACAGAGCCCAGTCCTTCTGCCAGTGCTGTGTCCTGGGCACTGCACCATGTGGGACCAAGCCCAGCCAACACAGTGAAGTACAAGGGGATGAGGGTATTGCCATTCTCTTTGATGCCATGAATAAAAGCCCCTCACATTCCCCTTGGACAGTGAGGCAGGCCCTTATGTAACAGAAGGGTACTTAATTATGCACATCTATGTGCTCTGGAACAACTTTAATAACAGTGTAAGAGCCACTTGAGCAATAGACATGTTTTTATGAACCAGAAGGATAAAACTCAAGTTCTCTGGTGGACAATGAAAGTAGATTTCTTCCTTATTTTATTTTTGTTAATATCACTCTTAAACTTTGAATTATCTGGCAAGCATTAGGGCTCATTAACTTTGTTTCGGCTTGTACTTTGTGTTAATGGGATGGTATTTTGTAACAAATATGAATCACTTGAAGGCTAAGGCTTAAATGTTTAATAAAAGTCATTAGTAGAATTACGTGCTGGGACTTTTAAGAAAGATGATGGTATTGTTATGGTTACTGTTGGACCTCAGCTGTCAGTGGTCTTTCTTCCCCTCTGCCTTTGCCAGCCCTCAAGTTCTCACCTTCCTGCAGGCAGGCTGAGGTGGTTTTGCCAAACTTCAGCCAGCCTACCCAGCGCAATCACCATGCTCCCACATGGGCATGGGAACAGAGGCATTCAGCTCTCTTGTGCAACCTAAATGATGTTTATAAAATAGAAAAGCCATTTAACCACTGAAATAAGGCACAGCAGTTAAAAAAATATTCCACATCCACTTTATCTTGTAGTCTTGCCAACACGTACTGAATTAGATAACTGCAGATCTGAGCACTTTCAGTTTCTTTGGAGTTCTTGCTCTCCAAAACCTCCATTTAAATGGTTCACTGTGAATTCCCCAGGATCTTCCATGCCTTCCTTCACAGGCACCCATGTCTTCCAAGGGAAACCTCTCCTCTGAGCCCAGCAGAAGCCCAGCCAAAATATCACAGCAAAGGGCGTTTGCTTCAGCTCCCCAGTGTTTCCTCCAAACCACATGCCTGGATTCATCTGTTCTCCCCTGGGTACACTTCCTGACAAGCCAGCGATTGAAGTAGCTCAATGTATGCACACAGTAAACATGTCAGCACATCACATTCATAAATTATTACAGGCAATGCCAAATCTGCCACAAAGATTTTTCGACTTGAAGCCAGAGAAGAGGATCTTCAGTGGCAGAAATGCTGGAAGACTGAAAGAAAAAAATAAGGAGAAGGGCTTCTGTTAACTTCGTGGAACTGGGATCCAAGGCAGTACGTGCTTTACTGCCAGAGGGAAGAAAACTGACCACTACTCAGCAGTGACCAAGGCAGATTTTAGAATAATGTAAAACTGCAAGAAAACATTCATAAAGCTGCTCTGGTACTGCCAAGCTTTGTCCTGCGTACCTGTCTGAGGGGACGGCTGGGGAGCAGGCTGCTCTGTGATGTATGTAAAACCAATTCTCTCATTCCTGTTCTTTGATTCAACATCCTGAACCGTGCTCAGTAGTTACAGGCACTATTTTGGTTACAGCCAGTAGGATGCAGTCTTCCTGGCCATTCTAGGTCTAGCCTAAAGCCAAACAATGCCTGCTCCCCTCTACACTCATGCTGGTGTCCATTTCCCACTCTATTCTCCCACTCTCCCTGTTCCACATCCCCTGTCCTCTAGGTTTTCAGGTACAGCATCTGTGTCTCCAGGTCTGGTGCAGATAAATCACCTCACATCAACACTAACAGTGACCGAGTCACCCACATTCAGGGTCTCCCACACAGCTCTTCCACCTTGAAGATGGCTCTCAGGCTTTGTATCTTTACAACGCTTCTCCAAAAAGGAAACCTCAAAGTTCTTATCCCAAATACTTGACACAAGCAACGGGCCTGTGGTGCTGAGCAGTGGGTGACCAGAGGCCTGCTGGTTACTCTGCCAGGGACAGGGACCAGGAAGCCTAGCACAGATTTTCTACTCACCCTGTCCTCACATCCCACAGCCCACGCTCTGCTTGGTCAACCTCACCTGGGCTGACGTTAGTAACACAGGCTATCTGGATCACCTCTACTTATTTGTATTTTTGGATTCATATAGCATGAGCTTCACCAAGAGAATCTTTTCTTCTGGAAGCTGAGATCTTTCTGTTTCCAATAACCACAGCCACGTTATTATTCTACAATTACTTCATTATCTCCGAGAAAAACAAAAATTCCAGATTTTATTGAGATGAATCAAAGAAGGTGATCGAGATATCCCGTAAAACAGCTTTATGCACATCTTGTTAAATAGTGCAAGTTCATAATAACGCAATTAATTAGGAAACTGAACTTTTCTGCCAGTTTTTTTGCTTTTCTTTGCTTAAATATTTATGCTGTGAGAGTCGCCCATCTGGTTTAGATTGTAGGATGAAAATCACAAGACTTACCCACCATCCCCTGACTTGTAATTCTGGGAAAGACTGGAAGTAGTTTGGCAACACAATGTGTTTTCCTGCCTCCTGAAGAAATAAATCTCCAGCTCCAGAGCAGACTCAGCCAACAACTGGGTAATTTCAAGACCTAGACCCATGCTATTTAGGGAGCCAAATCCAGGTTCAGATCTCTGGTAACACAGTGGGTGAGTTCACATTCAGGCTCAGGCTGCCATAAATTTAGTCATAATAAGCTTTGCTATCTGTACTCAGGCTGAAGTCTGGCTGTGTTTGGACATCTGAGTCTGGCTGCCCAGGCATTTGACACTAGAGTCAGGGTGTTCACAGCATGGTTCCTCCATTGGGTCAGTGAATATGAAAGCAAATAATTGCCATGGCTGCAGCTTTTGGAGAATTACAGTTTTTAGTGAGGTTTTAGAGATTTATTGTTTTTAAGGCAATGGGGCAAGTGACGCATTCCACACATTCCCAGAGCCTTGGATGTGATCCACTTCCTGCATTAAGTGGCGGCACATCCAGGATAGGAGCATCACAGCGTGGATCTTCCTCTGGGTGGATCAGTTTGGAATACATCAAGGGGGGCAATTTCTTCTCTCTGTTTTTTCAGCTAATATATATCTGGATTGATGCTTTCAGGAGCATACTGCCACTCCACATCACAACTATCTGTATCCCTGTGGTGGGGGGTGAACATGTTGGGAATAACATTTGTTACCGTTTTCCCCTGCAGAGTACAACTCTCAAAAGCAAGTGGGACCATTGTTTAGACTAGGCTAGATAACACCATGGTGAAATATTTGAAATAACAGGAATTCTTTACATGTTTGTATTTTCCTCTGTGGGAAAGAGCAACACTGGAGAAGATGAAAGGTCACAGCCTATGGGCTCCAGCCAGCAGGTGCTAGGACCTTTTTGCCCATGAGATTTTGGCGCTGTAATATATTCTGTCCCTCCTGTAAATGAACCAGCAGCAAGGTTACAAGACTCAGATGTGTGAGACTGAGTCAAAAGACTTCAGAAAGGTTTTGTGCATAGCAGGGCTGTGGCACTTCCAGTAGTGCATGGACAGTGGAAGGGGAGTGATGCTCCCAGCCTACTCCAGCACCCCTACAAGGAGCCAGTGGACTCCTGGGCTGCCCAGCACAGTTGCAGTGACAACTTGGCCTGATGAGTCCCTGCTTAGCGCTCCCCAACAGGGTCAGAACTCTACAGGCGCCTCTGTTTAGGAAGTGGCCATAATGCCACTTGTTTCCATTATTATTAGCTAACTGAAATACCCAGATACAGTTCCCTCCTCCCCCTCTAACCCTAGAAATAAAGCAGCACACAGCAGCCCTGGGCAGGCAGGCCTGGCAGTGGGAAGACTTTGTGCTGGCTTTGAGCAGCAGCATCAGGCATCAGTTGTTGAAAAAGTCCTCTACTGCTTTCACAGCCTTGTCTAGAAGTATGGTGACACAAAACGCTATGGCTCACTGCAGGACAAACACCAAAAATAACAGTTGCTTACAGACAGTGCAGTGAAAGTTCTTGATGTGGTGATTGAGCAAGACCAAGATTTTTCCACAGGGAGAGCAACACTTTGCTTTGAAGACAGATCCAATGGCTTTAGCCTAAAGAAAGTGGGAACAAGTGGGTGCCACTGCTGGAGGGATTTGCAGATAGCAGAGACACTGCAGCAGAAGGAAGCAATGTGCCCTGACCTCTGGCTGTCAGCACCAGGCTCTCCCACCCCCAGAGGTTGGAGCTGGGCCCTCAGCATTAGAGCAGACCCTGTCCTATCCCATCCTTGCTGAGCAGATCAGCTCCTGCCCAGACTCCACCATGATATAGCCTCAGACCCTGCACTGGCAGCAAAGCATTCCTGTGTCACCTGGTTTTTGCATCTGTTCCCAGACCCCACAAGAAGCAGCCACAGCAATGAGATAGGTGGCACAGCCTTGGGAGCAGAAAACAGCTGGGAACAAGGTGCAACAGTAGTCCCACCTCCTGCCTGGGTACCGAAACAGAGAGGACATGGGGCCATCATAGAATGGCCTGTGTTGAAAAGGACCACAATGATCATCTAGTTTCAACCCCCTATGTGCAGGGTCACCAACCACCAGACCAGGCTGCCCAGAGCCACATCCAGCCTGGCCTTGAATGCCTCCAAGGATGGAGCATCCACAACCTCCTTGAGCAACCTGTTCCAGTGTTACCACCCTCTGAGTGAAAAGCTTCCTCCTAATATCTAACTTAAACCTCCCCTGTCTCAGTTTAAGACCATGCCCCCTTATCCTATCACTATCCACCCTCATAAACAGCCACTCCCCTCCTGTTTATATGCTCCCTTCAAGTACTGGAAGGCCACAATAACCACAATCACCCCAGAGCCTTCCCTACTCAAAGCTAAACAATCCCAGTTCCCTCAAACTTTCCTCAAAGGAGAGGTGCTCCAGCTCACTGATCACCTTAGTGGCCCTCCTCTGGATCCACTCGAAGAGCTCCACATCCTTCCTTTACTGGGCGCCCCAGGCCAGGATGCCGTACTCCAGATAGGGCCTCAGAAGAGCCAAGTAGAGGGGGACAATCATCCCCTCTCCCTACTAGCTACCCCTTTTTTAAAGCAGCCCAGAACACAGTTGGCCTTCCAGGCTGCAAGTGCACACTGCTGGCTCACATGTCCAGCTTCTCATCCACCAGGACCCTCAAGTCCTTTTCCACAGGGCTGCTCTCAAAATGTTCCCCCAGTTTGTGTAAATATCTGGATTGCTCCAACCCAAGTGCAGCACCTTGCACTTGCCCTTATTGAACCTCATTAAGTTTTCATGGTCCCACTCCTCCAGCTTGCCCCTCTAGATGGCTTCCCTTCCCTCTAATGTATCAATTCTTGGTGTCATCCGCAAACTTTCTGAGGGTGCACTCTATGCCATTGTCTGTGTCACTGATAATGATGTGGAAGAGCACTGGTCCCAAGATCGACCCCTGAAGGACACAGCTTGTGACCAGCCTCCACCCTAACACAGAACCATTAATGCCACCAAAGGCATCTCCTGAGCAATACCCCCTGCCACTTCCTGGAGACACTAAAGACAACACAGAAGAAAAAACACAATCTCCCAGGAGGTTAAATCAGCATCCATTACTAAAAAAAGATAAAGGGAGACAACTTTTCTCAGGAAGCAGCAAGAGCAAGGCTCTCAGATGGAGCAAGCAATCAGAAAGGCTTTCTTGCCTTTGGTTCTTCAAATCAGGAATGAACCAGATGTATATGAAATATTAAAAAAAACCTTGCATTACTTAACATGCTGCGTTATTGAATGATGAAAAACAAGCATTGTACCAATTACACAGTTTCATGAGAAAGGAGGCTGTCTCTCCTCACACCATTCCCTGCAGAAGAGATCACTGCTCAGTTCTGTTCACTCCCTGAACTGGCACCTGCTCCCCACACAGCAGCGTTGGCAGCTTCTCTGCCTTTACTCCCTCTGAACCAAACTCCTGGAAGCTAAAGACAGGGCCTTGCTTGCTGCCACATCTCACAGCGCGTGGCTGGAGCCACTTGAGATGTCACACAAAGATGCAGCTGCATTGCTTCAAAATGAAATCATAACAAAAATTAATGTATTACTTCTCTGAAGAACCTTAAAATGATACATTGTGTAAACAGTGAATCTGGTCTTGCTTCTGCCCATATTTTGACCTGAGAGACTTTAAAAAAAAAAAAAAAAAAGTGGTTTGGAAGTAGTCAGGCTGGTTCCACCTTCCCCCCTCCCTCCCAAAACTGCATGCTAGTGCTGTTTGCTTCAGCA